TATGGAATTCCATTGACGAAGATATAAAATTATCTTCATTGTCTTTGTTTAAAAAGAAAGTGAAGCAGCAATTTATCAAAGATTTACTAGACATCTGTATTGTCTATGTAACTTTAATATGGAAATAATACTGTTTTGCAATGTATGAATTTTAGTCTCTTTAATATACTGGTAGTTTAACTTTGTGTGCGTTTCTGTCTTTCTTTGTTTTTGTGTCCCTGACCTAAACATTTAAACATCTTTTCTTTTAACTGGCTGCCTTGCATTTTTAACTCTTAGGTTATTTCGGGCACCCAGCGCCCATATGATTGTCTGTACTATTATTATAAATTTTTCTTTCTTGCATATTTTGGGGTGAAAAAAATAAAGTTGTTGTTGTTGTTGTTGTTGTTGTTATTATTCTTTGATAACAACTTGCAGGTAACAGGAAATTTTTAACTGACATATATAGGAGAGGGAATTTCGGAACAAGTTACCGATGAAAACACCAAGCCTACAAGTAGCAACAGGAAAAAAAATACCCTAATTATTGGACTTTGTCAAAACCAGAAAAAGCCGTCTTTACTTTAAGCGAGAGTTAAGAGAAGAAATGAAATGAAAAAGTTAAAACAATTCAATTTTCCTGAAGTCTGATAGATACAGAATATAACCCATTTGATTGAAATTGCTGATGGAGCTTCAGTTTGTCACAGCAGCAATGCAAAGTTAGCTAGTTAATTATGCAAAAAATGCAGTAAATTGGGGTTTTCCGAGGAGGACCTTATATCTCCCAGGGAATTAAAAATTTTCACTTATCATTTTCACACATTAAATTTTGTTAATTCATGATGCTTAGTCTTCGTGCCAAGTTTGATCCAAACTGGTGATATGAGGTTTATCGCTCCCTGGACACGCTCTTAAAAGAAATTCAATGGAACTGTGGGTTTGGATTCTCGGCTGGTTCCTCCGCATCCTCACAATGGTTGTAAATAGATTTGTCATCTTCCTCGTCTGCAGTAAACGTCAGCTTCGCACCAAAACCAACACACTCATCTTGTCGTTGGCAATGGCTGATTTTTTAGTTGGGATGATTGCTGCTCCTTCACGTTTACACTGCAACTGAGTATATCTCCGATGAAAAAGTAATGTTACTCTTGGTTAACGTTTGGTTGTTTTTCATTTGCACCTCAGGAACAAACTTATTAAGTTCAGTATTGGAACGATATACCGCCGTGGTAAAACCTTTGAAATACTTGACTTTTACGAAGCACCGCCGATCGAGTCATTCTAATAGTTCTTACATCTTGGGGAGTTCCTTTTGTTTTCATTCTTACTTATAATTTATTGTGGATTAGACTGAACTTAATCGCTCATACGTTGAAATTCTAGTGTCTTACGGAATATTTATTCGGCGTAGTTTATTGCATTTAACCGGTCATTTATGCAAAGATTCTTATTTCAAAGTACCTATACAAGTTCTGGAATAAACCCCATAGCTTACGCTCTCTTACTGACGGGACATAGGAAAGAATGTAAAAGGTTTCTTTTCAAAAGGCGTCGTTGATTTACAACAGAGCAGTTCCTAAGCAAGAAATACTCAGTTGTTACATACAGTAACTTGACTTCCCTCAGATTCCGAGGACTTCCGGTGATGTACTAAGTTCTTATCTAAATTGATATTTAGTTTAAAAATTTCGAATGAGACAAACATAAGTCACCTAGTACTGATATCACTTTTACCTCTAAGACTGAAACCTTTGGTCGGTTGAACATACGGAGGCCGTTAACGTTCTTTGGTGGAGATATATATTTTTTTTAGATTATTGAGGCTTAGTTATTTACATTTCAGTCTAAAAACATCACGTTCATAAAACTTTGAATTTGTGTCGTATTTTTAAATAAAATAGTCAAAACATATCCTTTTTCTCCTCAAAATTTCTGTCTTTCTACAACAGCTCTCCAGTTAACGGTTTGGTCCTTCAACGTTCCTGAGCATTATCGAGTTCTCGTTGATAAATGATACCAGTTCTAACTCTGAATCGGGAAATGCTGGGAAACAAGTATAAAAGTCATGTTAAATACTTTTTCTCTTTCCTTTGGAAAATTCTAATTTGTTAGAGTAGCTGACAATGATAAAACAATGCCAACCCTTTCTCATTTCCTGAAAACGTTTTTCGAAATGCCCGTCAAAGAAGATCTTCGCTCGACTAACAGGGAATCACTCGACAAGTAGAAAAGTCGTGTAATTCATCGGACTAATGTCAAGAGAAATTGTCCACGGCGAGCACTTTAATTTACAAGATTGTACAACGTTAAGTTTTCTTGATGAGTCTTTGTGGTAGGTTTTTGTTTCTGCTTGTTTGTTACGCAAACAACTGTTCCATGGAAAGTATCACACTAGTGAAGGAAAGGACGATTTCGAAGATTGGTGTGTACAAGATCATGACAACCTGAAATATTCTTGTAAACCTCCTTTATTTCCTCCAGCCCCTGTAATGGAAGGTTGCAAGGTTTGATGATGAAATGAGGTTCGATGAAGAAATTACTCTTTCACATAAAGATCCGATCATAAATAGCTTAGAAAAGGAACTTGAAAAAATGAAGTACAATTATCAGAGTATAAAATTTGATATGAAAACATTAGATTGAATTAAATCTGAAATTCTAAGTATTACCAAAAAATGAAGTAGCTTTGTGTTTAAGGCTAGAAATACTGACTGAATCCTTTATATTATTAGGAAGACTATTCCATTCATTTATAATACGGATAAAAAAGCTATATTTAAAAATATTTGTTCTACTATACATGCTCACCAGGTCTAGAGAATCATTCTTCCTTAAGCTTAAATTATAAACCACACTACGATCTTTATAGAAATNTCGTTTGCGGATGACCCGTAATGTCCGTCAGTGTTACAGACTTGAGAGTCTCTGTAAGAAAGATACCTGTCTAAGATGGACAATAAGGGTCGGTTATTTGAACAAACTTTAACCGTTGTTTGACAAAACTGCGTCTTCAACATTAATTTAGCCGAACCTTTCATCTGAACATTCATTTTTGTGAACAGCCGTCGAAAGCTGACAGTGGAAGGACATTTATTTAATTTAAATCAACCCTCTTGTGGAGAAAGCCTGAGGCCCACTGATTGTATAAAACCTTGGTTTGGGTTAAGCCCCGTCTACACGAGCAATTTTTATGTGGCAACTGTATGTGGCAATTTTTATTTGCCCGTGTAGATGGCTCGACAAATATTTGTTGTTAATTTGCGTCAGTAATAATTTTGCACAGCGGAGATGCTCATGGAAAGGAAAAAAGCAAGATGGCGAAAGTCAGAAGACGTGCCAGACGTGTTGCAGCTTTAGGCGCGTTTGTCACAGTTTATGTGGCGTCTCATCTACACGGAAAATATTTTTATGTGGCAATTTTTATTTGCCACCTAAAAACTAACACGTCAGCTTTTCAGAATATTTCAAAATATTTTTATGTGGCAATTTTTATTTGCCACTTAAAAACTAACACGCCAGCTTTTCAGCAAATGCAGTTGTCACATAAAAATTGGTCATTTTTCATCATCTACACGGGCAAATAAAAATTGTGACATAATAATTGCCATATAAAAATTGCACGTGTAGACGGGGCTTTACTAATAACCCCTGGTAGTTCATTGCTATATATAACAAAGAATAAAGGTCCCAACAGGGAACCTTTTGATACTCCAGAGCTAATTGGTAGCCAGTCAGATAATTCCCCTTTTACAACAACTCTCTGCTTACGGTCAGTGAGACAGTCTTTACACCATTCCAGAACACGCCCACGGACTCCATACTTAAATAATTTAGTCAAAAGAATATTATGATTCACAAGGTCGAAGGCTTTTGCAAAATCAATAAATACCACATCCACTTGACCACAGGCACGGGCACGGACACGGGCACGGGCACGTTGCCCGAATTCTAGCGTGGGCACTTGAAAAAAAGGTGTCCACGTTAGTGCCCAATGTGAACGCAACTTAAGAGAAGAAAACAGACACCAAACGCCACATAGCAACTAAAACAGTAATAACTTTATTTTCAAAAAAAATTGTGTCTTTTCCAAACTTGCTTAGCAACATTAGAATACTCTGAAAATTTTGTCACGCGAGTCAGAGTCTGTTAGAAAAAAGCGAGGCAGAGAACCTCGGTCTGTTTAATGAGATATTCTTCTATTGCACTTTTAAATTGCACAAACATTGCGTGACACTGTTGAAAAAAAGGGATGTAACGCCATCCCATTGCATTCAACAAGAGTATATCAGGGCCTTTAACGATTGAGTGTCATAAAGCCAAACCCAAGAAATTGAGACGGCCAATCAGCGCAAGGCAAATATCTCGAGGAATCAATGAGAACTCAACGAGAATGCGACCGGACCGAAGGGCGGGAAAACGAAAGTGACCAAGTCACGTTTGGTTTTAGCCTGGCATCTGATTAGTTGAAGACAAGCGCGAGTTTTCTTGACGAGATGTTTACCCAGATTGCTGAAGACGCTCAATTGAAAATTGCTCCATGTTACATTAAAAAAGCATCACAGCTAACCAATAACATTGATGAGTAACTACTATACCGCAAATCGTCTAATAAGCCCCCGCGGGGGCTTATTTATTTCAGGTACTTTGTGGGGGGAGGGGGGTGGCTTATAAGTGGAGGGGGGGGGGCTTATTAATTTAGCCCGATGTTCATTTCCAGGATACAATAGGCTATGATGTACGGTACTTGAATAAGTTTATCGTACTTGCTGTCATGGAGTGTTATTTTAAATTTTTGTTCAAATTAAATTTCTTCCTCTAAAGAGGTGGGGCTTATTAGAGGGGGGGTGGGGATTAATAAAGGATTTACGGTACTTATCAAAATATACACTTACACGCAGATAATGATTATTCACAAACCTGTTCTCCAAAATAAACCTTACACTTTAAATACCCAAGCTAGGCTTGCTATCATGTTGTTTGCATTTCGTGATAGATTCATAAATACACAGTTGTGTAATTTTGTACGCAAGGTACATGATTCTGTGCCAAGCTTCCAAACAACCATATCAATCAATCAAGCTAAGATTCTTGCGTTCATAAATAGTGAGATTTTTAGTGACCTTTATGAAGGTATTTTGAAACTTTCCTACATCTTTGTTTTGAACGCTTTATAGTAATATCCTAGTTAATAACTAGTCCTAACAACTACTTCATCCCTCTATGATCCACGGAATGATCCTTGTCGGTAGCTGAACAACTACACACCTAACCACCCCTCCCCTAATCTGAACAAAATTCAACTGATTACAAGGTTAAGGGAGGGGTAGATGCGCAGTTGCTCAGACACTAACGGTGATCCTCCCTTTAAATCTACTATTGCGTAGGATAACACGCATTTTTCCAGAGTTTCCTGGGCTAAAACCATCATAATGCTTAAACTATATGTACATCTTAGTGTTAAAAACCTTCCATATCAGGCTTACAAGTCGATCATCGCTGCATCCTGTGAGGACAAAACAATCAAGTTAAAAAAGATTTCGTTACCTGAGTGACACCATAAGTGTTTGAACTATCTGTTTGCTCCACCCCACCCCACTTAAATTTCTTATCAGTTCCCCTACTGTGCGGCAGAACGGAACCTTATTACTCCATCACAGGTAACCCTCATCTGAAATTCCTTTTCTTAAGACTTGCCTTCTCTAAATGCGTTCCCGTACTACAGAAAATTGACTGCCGGTACAGACTCGCCATATGGCTTTCGTGGTCGAGTCGCTTTATTTAATATTCCTATGTTGAATAATGCGACACATGCGTTCCCTAAAAATTTCGTCGCAAAATACCGGGAGAAATATAGAAAATTGACTGTCAATTAGGGGAGTTATTAGAATATTACAGGGAGGATCTGGAAACTAAAAAAAAATTGTCCACCACCTTCGCCCCGTGATAACACATGTTCCCTTAACTCCCTTAAAAATTCTTGTTCCCTAAAATTCTTGTCGCAAAATACGTTTCCTAAAATCAAAACACGTCTTCATAAACACGACCCCTCGAAGACGTCCGTTGAAATGACTTGAAAAGAGCAAAGACAGCACTTACATCATCACTAGTATCGCAATCGCGATAGGCCCGCAATCCTTTGGGTCTGGGTTCATACTTGAAACTCTCAGAGCCTTCCATTTCTTCGTCGTCGTCTTGAGAAAGTTTAGAGTAACGATAGGAGGGCCGGCTGAAACGTTACAGAGCAAAAGTTGTATTATGACATTTTGCTGAGATACTCTAGGCTACGATGAACAGAAAAAAGTTTTAGCACATTCTACTACTTTCTGGATTTTTTCCTACACCTTTCATTTACATTCCCCTCTCCCCTATTTCAGTGTTACCTGGTGTTAAAAAAAATTGTAACTAATTTCAGCCAAAATTGTTTTAAGGGGGATGAATTGCAAATTTACAATATTTGTCGTTCTTTCTTTCGTCTTTTCTCTTTCTGTGCAATTTCAAGTCTAAGGACGACCAGGACCTGGAAAAAAGTTTTTTTTACCTTTGCAGTTGGAATTCAAGTTGCTGTTATTTAAATGAGCTGTCTAGGGAGGATCTTACAACGTTTTTATTACATCATGTAAACAAAATTCACTTACAGTTTGTGGACCTTCCAGTATTTTCTGCCGAAGTATACCGCGGCCACAATCAAAATTAAAAGCATAGAAATGACTATCCATACTGCAGCTTTACTACGGGCATTCTACAAGTACGAAAACAAAACATGATCTGTTTTGACAATTCTCCACACTGTCTGCCAAACATTTCTCATAATTTTAGGTCTGAGAATTTGGTGTGAAATCAAATGATATCCCATGCTTGATATTTGTCATACTTCTCACCACCTTCCCGTTATTGTTGTAAGGAGATTCTCATTTTTGGTCTTCTGGGAGAGAAAAGGTTAAAGTGTCAAGAAATACTTTAAACCATACTGAAACACTGCCTCGGGATCTGCGATGCCTGAGTAACAAGCAAGGCGGGGAGAAGAAACTGGGTCCGCCAGAAACACTCACTCTAAGGTGAGCCTAGCCTGTGGTGGCGGATCCAGACCTTGAGCTAAGGGGGGTGTTTTTTTTTTGTGTACGTACACCTTTTCTTACTCAAAATAAGGGGGTAGCCGGGCCCCCGGGCCCCTCCCCTAGATCTGCTACTGACCTGTGTATCACTGCAAGAGCGTTTCTTCGCTCACAGCAAAGGATAAGAGTTCTGCGAGGGGTCTGGCACTAATAATGAGGTGTTGGAACCAAACCTTCGACAGACCTATCTCTGACTTGTCTCAAATCTTCTCACGGACGGAAAAAGGCTCGGCAGTAATACAACGAGCGTAGTATAATAGAAAAAGTCCAGAGCGATTAATCCGCAAAGAGAAAAAAAAGATAGTTTGATACCGTAGGATTTCCCTTGAAGTGAAAATACTCAAACTCTTCGAATAAATAGCCAGCGAACAGGCCCACATCATAAACGCTGCAGATTTGAGACAAGTCGTGGAGAGGTATTTTCCGACACTGAGAATCATTACCAGCGCCAAACCCCTCGCACACCTCACACCGCGTAGCTTAAGGCCTCACAATTTCCACGCTCGTACTGAAGCGCAAGTACTGCACACCTGCCCCCAAGCTATTGGATAAAAAAAAAAATACAGAAAAGCAGCAGCGTCCTCACCTTTTTTGCAAATTTAGCCTCATAGTCATAGTTCATCCCATATTCGTACCACGAAGCATTTTTACAGAGTTGCCGTGAGTCTAAATACTTAGACACTTTAGAATCACCTCCACAACACTGGTCTCCTGGAATACGTCGGTGTCTGGAACAAATTAAACAACATGAAGCTGAATTGAAAACGCATTTTTATTGGCTCGTAACTATGATCTATTGGAAAACACATGACTTCTCGGATGACAGCCTAGATGATGTCACTATCGACAAAACTTTCTTTACGGTATATACCACAAATGGATTCAATAGTTCAATTCATCAAGCAACACGAGCTACGCCGACTAAAAATCTGTCGCAACATGAATTAAAAACAGCAAAGTCACACATGAGAAGTTATACTGATTTCCTCCCGTCACGACATAGCCAAAAAATACCATAATTCGTCACTCTAGTCACGCGTGACACTATGCACAGTATGCATGAGCAGCGTCATATCGCAC